GCTTTCCAGCCAAATCTAAAGCAAAGCGTTGTATCATTTCCTTCGTAGGTGGCAAACGTCGTTCGGTAAGCGTATCGATGTATCGTACAAGCTCCTTCTCGTGTTGTGGATGGAGGGAGAGGTTGCGCACGCCATAGGCCTCAGTTTCGCCGCGGTGTCGTCTCATCAACGTCATTCGTGCTACACCATGCTTTTTCGCGATTGCTTGATACGAGAATTTATCTCCTGGTTCTCGCGATTCGATTTCTGCAATCGCTTCTTGAATCGGGTCCATATTGGTTGAGTTTTGACGCGTTGAAGTTTTGTTGTTGTGGTGGTGGGGGTGCTCAACTGGCGATGGTGCTCATCTGGTGCACGGGCACTGTAGACACAGCAAATAAGCGTAAGAGCCGCAAGCGGCGATACGTACGGACAGAAGAGACTCTTACTGTAGGCGAAGTACAAGAAGTATTAGCTGAACAGGCGGGTAGCAGTCGTGGTGATGGTGAGAGTGCGTCGAAGAGGGTGCGAGGAGAGCGGCGGTGCGGGCGTTGCAAGCAGACTGGACACAACGCTCGTACCTGCGCAGTTGAGATAGATAGTGTAAGTGATAGTAGCGATTCTGATAATTAATTTGGTATATTGCAATAGTTTATTGACTGTAATAAAAGACTGTGATAACGTGTCAACGTCAACGCGCTGGTGGGGAGTGACCGACTCGCTTGGGTGACCGACTCGCTTATGAACCACGTTATACATTTTATACATTTTATACATTTTATACATTTTATACATTCTATACGTAACTTGCATGTGTTTAACTAGTCTACTTTGCTCTATAAGTGTCTCACCTCTCTCTCTCTCTCTCTCTCTCTCTCTCTCTTTTGCTGGTGGTAGTGATGAGACTTCTCAGTCCTGGCATAACACAAAATCCTTTGACACTAACACTGACATGTATGTATGTATGTATGTATTTATTTTGTCCCGTATATCCATGTCTCTTTCTGTATGTTGTCATGACTTTCAATTCCTAATTTCCCAATTTCCCAATTCCCAGTTCTAAATCCTGGTTTTTTTCATTCTAAAATATTAATCAATTACCCCTCTCAACCCTTCAATCTTTCAACCCTTTTTGTTTTTTGTCTTTCTCTTCCCGTGCACCTGGTAAAAAAAAGGAGAAGAAAAACACACACACACACACACACACACATGACCCTCAATTAAAAATCGCCGTCCGAGCTAAATTATACCTTGCTTTGGCTTTGGCTTTGGCTTTTCCTCATCTTGCTTAGCCATGCTGTTACTTTTATTTTTACTTTTCCTTCTTATTCCATTTGCATTGCTTTTGCCATCTTCTTTTCCTCTACCATTGCTTTTTTTTCGGGGCTAAACTGCGGGTGTTTGGACTAGGCTGGGCTGGGCTGGGATGCACTGCACTGCACTGCACTGGGTTAGGACTGGATTGGACTGGATTTGGCTTGGCTTGGCTAGCTTGGACGACGGTAGGCTGGATTAGGCTAGGCTAGGCTGGGATGGACTGACTTTGGTACCGAGGACGCCTAGATGTACATGTAGGTGTAGTGGTAGTGGTAGTGTATATCTGGCACTCAATCGATAAGCACATGATGATGATGGTGGGATAGATCAACGCTGGATCGAGACATACATCCATCCTGTATCTAGTTACTGGTCATGGTTACTATATATGTACATGTAAAGTGGGCTATGCAGCTTAGCATATCATAGCATAGCATATCATAACATAGCATAGTGTAGCATAGTAAGTCATCTCGAATGCCTCGATACAGGAAACAAAAAAGTAAAAAGAAAACAGAGGTAAATGGATAACTAGCTAGTGGGATAGACATGTTCTGCATATAGCTACATGTGCTAAGCTCGCGAGTATGTGCATGTGGATGTGTGCGTGGACATGCGCTTGTGCGTGTATGCACGACATATTAGTCCCGTTAGTGTTGGTTACCACTCTTCGTTCCTCGCTTCTACAAGCGAGTGCACAAGCGAGCGTGTCTGGGGAACGTGGTGTGGAAGCATGTGAGGTGTGGAAAGGGAGTGAGGGAGTAAGAGTACGTAGATGGGTGCATGGATGCATGGAGGGTGCCAGGGGGTGCAACGAGTGGATTGGTGTGTATTCATCATCGGATGTAGTGTAGTATCTAGTATCTGGTATGTGTGTAGTATCTCAGATCTTATGTGTACGTGTACACTTGTAGCAGCGGGAGTGATGGGAGTATGGTAACTGTAGCAACACAACCACAACCACAACCACAACCACAACCACAACCACCAGATCGAACCAAGATAATCCAATCTCCATGCTTTTTCCCTCGTCTTTCCCCTTCCCTTTCCCCTCCTTTCCACACCCACTACAACACAGTCCAGCCCGACCTAGCACAGCCTAGCACATAATTACATCCAAGAAAAGAAAGTGAGAGCGAGAGAGATAGAAAACACGGTTCAGTGGCGTAGTGCTAGGTATGACATGCATATACATGTACATTAGCGCTGTTTATGAGTCCATCTGTCTTTCTGAAGTCCCCCAAGAAGCAAAAGCAAGCAAAAGTTTTGGCTTTGCTTCTTTTTACTCGCTAAGCACGTGGGTAAGTAGTGGGTGTAGCGTTGACGTTGATATTGATGTTGGATGTTGGTGGTAGTCTACACACATAAAACACACACACACACACACACACACACACACACACACACACACATACACAAAGATAAAAAGACTCCAGCCAGACAAAGAGAACATGGGCAGATTCGGGAATTACTTGTTCTTTTTCTTCTCCAGCGCTCTGTTTGTCTGAAGGATGAAGTCTTCTTTTTTCTTTTCTTTTCTTTTCTTTCTTCAAGGGTAGATGCGAGTTGGGAAACGGCTGGGAAGAGATAAAGAAAGAAAGAAAGAAAGAAAGAAGAGAAAAAAAAGGGGGGTAGGTTGAGGAGTTGCGAGCAGAAAACAAGACAAGAAAAAGAAAAAGAAAAGAAAAGGAAGGGAAGGGAAGAGGAAAAAGGTTGAGAGAGAGAGAGAGAGAGAGCGGGAAAGAATGAGAAAAAAAAGGAAAATACAAGTGGTGGTCCAAGAATGAAAAGGAAAAATACACCAATGCTGCTGACTGCGTGAGTAGCTGCCGACTAAAAAGATGCATATATTGCCGATCTTTAATTCTTTTCGTTCGTGGGTATCTTTTTCCTATCTACTATCTATCTATATATTTTTTTTCCGACAAGGATGATGGTTGCAGAAAAGGAGAGAAAGAGGAGGGGGAAGGGTTAAGCTCTTCCACCGGGGACCACACACCCCCTCCCCTCGGCTTGGCTGCAGATATATATGCACGTGTGTATGTACGGCAAGGGAAAGGCTGAATAGACAAGCACAAGTGTAAGCGAGCAAAACCGTTAGGGTATCGCGGATGCCGAGAGATTGGGAAAAAAAAGAAAAGAAAGAAAGAAAGTGGCGTTGAAAAAAAGAAAACGCCAAAGAAAACGCCATACAATTAACAATACACACTCCAAAATCACTCCAAACCATGTATAAAAATTACCCAGATTCTTTCTTTTTACAACAAACAGGGTCGTTACAGGGTCGTTAGAGAGTCGCTGGTGCTCGTGCTGGTGCTCGTACAAGAAAGGAAAAAAACAACAACAACAACAGAGGGTATAAAACAGGGTAATGACGCCCAGATGATATCTGAAAGACTGGCTCAAGACTGGCTCAAGGACTGCTCAAGAACTAGCTCAAGGACTGTCGTAGTCGTGGATAATCTCCTCAGGATCCTCTGGCGGAAGCAGATCAATGGTATCGCTGGTCCGTGGGCCCGTGTATTTTTTCCGCGCGCCAGCATACCACCAAATGGTACTGAATAAGCCGATAAAGGCGGCGACGCAAATGGCGTAGTTCATGTTGCCTGGGTGGACGGGACGGCTGGTCGGGAAGAAGAGGACGACACTGATGAAAATGACCCATGTGACGGCAATAGCGTTGACAGGCTTGCTCCATCGGCCCATTGAGTAAGGGCCCGGATGGAACATGACGCTGCCTTCGTACCAGCGGTGTGCAATAATAACAGCAATGTAGCTAATGTCGAGGGCGGGCGCGGTGATGTTGAAAATGGCCGTAATGGTTAGAGTGCTGCCGATACCGATCAGGTCGAGGCAGGTGCAGAAGACGACGACGAGCCATACGGCGTTGACGGGCGTGTGGGTACGTTTGTTGACCTTGCTCCAGAAACTAGACAGAAATTGTAAGCTTCGCCATTGCCATTGCTAACGTTTGATCCAGCGTGCCCAAACTTACTCCGAGAAAGGAAAGGCTGCATCGCGGGCAAAGGCCCAGGCCATTCGCGCATTAGCCAGCATGGCAGAGCAGCCGGTGAAGAACTGCACCAGCATTACAAAAAACCACATGATGGTCCCACCGGTTTTGCCGCCAGCGTTGAAAAAGATCTGCGCAACGGGAAGACCGGTCGGTGTGGACATGATGGCGTCGTAGTCTGACATGCAAAAGCAAAACGTCACCGTTAGCATCCAGCCAACGACTCCAGACACCAGAATGGCAGCTCGAATCGCCACTGGGCCTCGGATCGCGGCATCGTGCGTTTCCTCCGACATGCTGTGCAAACAAGCGGTTAGTGTGGCTGACATGCAAGGCCATAGGGCTGACGTACTGTGTGGTGCCATCGTAGTCGGTCATGGTCCATGCGACGGAAAGGAATCTGCGCACGGTTAGTAATTTGCTTTTTTCTCTCTTGCCGTAGCAGGCGGAGTAACGGACCCTAGCAGAAAAGAAAAGCCTTTGCTGCCCCAGCCAGAACCGTCCATGACGGTAGTAAAGACCCATTTTGCGCTTTGCTTGTTGGGCGTGAGAATGAGGAGAGCAATGCAGATGCAGATGGATGCAATGACTGCTTACGGTCAGATGGTGTTCCCCGCCCACGTCGGGCGAAAATCTTAGGCAACTTACTGTTGATCGGGGCGAACCACAGAATAATGCGGTGCAACCAATTGGTGGGGAAAGAGCAGATTGCGCCAAACATGCAGAGCACAAAGATGGCGAGGAGAACCGTCTGGTAGGCTTTCCTGCATTGATCGGTCAGCGGCTGCCGGTCGCCCAAATGGTGTGCATCCTACGGTTCAAAGACTGGCCCCTCAGTGTCTAGCGTATGCATGACAGCCGTCGCCAATATCATCTGTGAGATGGTGTATGCCAAACTGGCAACCCCAGCGGCTTGACCAAGAAAGTTGCACCATCCGATGATCCAGGACCAGGCGGCCACGTGTTCGGGCGGTACTACGTGTTTTGTCACATAGTACATTCCTCCCGCTGTTGGATATGCTGAGACTAATTCCGCCACTGGAGAGGGGGTTAGCTGAGACGGCGCAAAAAAGGGTGCTGGCAGAGTACACACCTGAGCTGGCTATACAGTATGCCATGATGCTGCCAATGAACCAAGCCCAAACTGCAGTTGCTGGGCCTCCAGAAGTCATTGGGGCGCCAAAGGTGGCGGGAACTGAGCCCAGCACTCCGAGAATCGAAATGGCATACGAGACTGTCGACCATCTTGAGAAGTGTCTTTGGAGGACCTGCGGAGCGTGTGAGCATCTTGAAGTGGCAGATCCAAGACTGGACTTACAGGAGCGTATCCAATGCGCACAAGGAGGCGGTCGTCGTCGTCGTCTGCAATGGTGGCCATGTTTCGATTCTGGCTGCTCTGGCCTGCCTCTACTGATTTGGACTGGCTGGAGATGGAGGGTGTGAGTGAGCTCCCGTTTCCGGGGGGTGTACCTGAGCCGTTGGTTTGGAATTCTGGGATGCCCATAGTCAATGACTGCTTGAGCGAGTGCACATGAGAATAGTGAAGAGAAACAAAGGAGAGCTCAGCAGTGGAAGCGTAGAAGGGATTTAGAAGGGTGTAAAACGTTTGTGGGTCGTGGGCGGAAGCACACTAGGAGGATGACAGCACTGGCGTAGACCCACAGCCGCCGGCGCTAGAAAGTGTATTGCTGGAAGTGGTAGGGATATGGTGGTCGGGGAGTGAAGGTAGAGACACGGGGAGACGAGTAGTGGGTTTTATCGCGAGCTAGCTTCGTAAAGGGCCCAACCCTGGCAGCCGCAAGGCCATGGCTGTCCAGTAGCATTGGAATGCGAGAAGGAACCTACCGTCAGACGAGTAATTTCAGGTGCGTTGACATGATGACACGTGCCGGGCGAGATGCGCTGTTGGTAGAGTTGGAAAGGGCGTGAACATGGAAAAAGGCAAGTCTCCAAGTGGAGTCGACAGGGAGCGGAAAAGCAGCGAATGGCAAACGGGGCAGCCCTGGCTCCGAGTCTGATGGAGACTTTGTTTGGCGCGGCCAGCAGATCCCAGGCGCGGCGAAGCGATCGTGGATGTGCGGTACTGTCATTTGCGCTGGGCACCGAGACTGGGTGCTGGGACGTCCTCGAGTATGTAGCGTGCTCAGACCATGATCAAAGCAAAATGCTGCCGCTTCGGCGACCCAGAGTGGCGGGCCGTTTAACTCGCATTCGTGACCAGGGTGTGCTTCAGCCCTGGGAGCAATCCACTCGTAAGAACCACCCTTGGGGAATCCTTTTTGCCCTCTTCTCCTCGGATGCATGCCTGGCAACGGCCATGCTGTCCTTGGCTGCCTCGAGCGGCGAGAACCAATGGCTGGCGTGTTCCCGTGGTAGTGCCAGCGTGTTGATATATATGTGTGTGTTGCAGCGCCGCATATGACACGACACAGGCCTTTGTTGTCGCGTATACGGGAGCGCTTACTCGAGGGTCGGCGATGAGGCCGTCTTCAGAAGCTATGACGCAGGCAAATGAGGTTGCGGCTTGCCTTGGGCGAGGTTTGTGAAGCGCTACGACTCGGGGTACCACTGCGGTCTGCCTGCAACCGATTCCCCCTGACAGACGGTAACAAATCTCTGCTCCAGGCGGTGAGGAGGGGCAAGGCTCATTGGCCGGCATCGGCTATCATGATATGAATGACGCTGGCCGAGGAAGAGGGCCTATTTCGCGAGCATGATGATGATGATATCAGGAATCGTGTGCCCGGGCTGGGTACGGCACGCTCCCACTCCCACAGGCGGTTTCCTGGCTGCCGTGTGCCGCCAGCCCGCCCTCACCCGGGAGCATCCATGGCTGCGTGGTTCGGAGGCTGTGTGTAAGACTGCAGCGTCAGTATTAGCATTGACTGTCACGGTCAGCCACGATGGCGGCGGCGGCTTATCGCAGCATGGCACCCAGCATAGAATTTCCTGGTCGAGTAGCGTAAGCGACGCTGCATACACATGGGCTCTCCTCTCACGTGCCTGTCGACTGCACACGCCAGACGGGGGTATTCCGCATTGCCGTCTTCGTACCAGACTGTGCTTTTCTGGTCTCCCGTTGCGCCGGACTGGGAGACGAGACGCGCGCCACAAGGCCTTGCAGTAGGTGTACAGCCGCGTGCCTTACGGTGAGGGATGCTCCGAAGCGGCGCCTAGCCAGTATGCACCTGTCCAGCTGATCAGAGGCATGCCCATGTCGTGTCGTCGACAAGGAGCCCTCTACACGCCCGTCGATGCTGTTGGCGTGAGGCGAAAGAGCGGTGGGAAGGGTCGCGGCCATGGATCCGAGATATTGCCTTTGTTTGCACGGCCGCCGTGTTCGAGTAAGTCGGGTACGGCTGGCTGCCCAGCACACACACATACAAAGTACGTAGTAAGCAGAGGAACTGCTCACGGATGCCATGCAAGTCGATGCTGCGCCACGAGGCCATGGACACACGGCGTGTGCATGTGTGTGTATTACTCGACGACGACCTTGACCAGGTGAGCGAGGCAGAGCCGAAGTTTAGCAGCCCCCACCACGGCCGTGTCGTGGGCATCACGGCATCGCTAGTGCAACGCCAAAATATGCCGGTACTGTCCTTGCAATTCACATCCATCCCATCTTGACCGCGATTCCATGTACGCCCAGGCCAGCTACAGTACGGTGCTGCGGCTTCTTCTTTTTTTCTCTGCCTAAACGAATGCCCGACGACACGGTCGAGACAGCGTCCCAGCGTCAAGGCCCCCCGTTTCTCGACAGCATCCCCTTCGTCCGGGACCATGCTGACTCGCCAACTGCCTGGGCGAACCCATCTGAGCTTCGTCTTCCAGAAGATGCCTCGAGCAACTCGGCCGTTTCAAAATGCTGCCGAGCCCATGTGCGGACCCATCCGCTAGGGCCGGCGATCAGCGTGGCATTTTGGGGCCCGCTGCCCAATGACTGCCGCTTCTCTGCAGTAAAATCACATTTACATATAATAGCTCGAGCCCACTATGCACCTGTCCTCTGTTCCATCGATGCGAGGACTACCAACGAGCATTGTTTGCTCGGGCAGAAGAAAGAGAGAGTTCTTTTACTGTATATACTTTTATTTTCGTACATACTCGATGTCATCGTCCCCCCCCCTATCGGTGGCCTATTCTTCATGAGTCACCTATCCGTGTTCGCGTGTCTCCGTTCGTCGCCTATCTGTGTTCTTGTTTCTTCATTAGTCACAGCTATCTCGTATACCAGCAGTACATGTGCTTTGCATGCGTTGTATGCCCCTGGCTGCTAGACACGCACTTTGCCTCATTTTTCGGGCTTCGTCTGGTAATCGGGCTGGCGTGTTGTTGAGAGTGCATGGCCACTGGAGTGTATGCGCCCCGGTTGGCCTCCAAAGGCGCTTAAGTGGTGTGGGTAGGTGGGGTGATTACATGGGCAGTGGGAGCAGGAGAGTCATAAGATGTCTTTTTCTCTGGATCCGCGCCGACAGCCCCAGATTACCACTACCACACGCCAACACGTAGCGGGCAAGGATAGGTTGTGTTTGTGTCAGGGCCGCCTCATCCAAGCCACAAGAGGATTTTTTTGCAAGCCAGTGCAGATTAGTAATTGACGGTAACTGCTAAAAGCTCAGTCTTGTTCCTTTTTTAGTCTTGCAAATTCTTTGCTGACACACAGGCCTAGTTTGTGATTCTCGCAGATGAAATAGCATACAGTGTGAAAAGCTGGGATGCAGAGACGACGTGGACGTTGGCTGCAACTAGTCGACGATCACACTCGAGGTATGAGGTATCGGGCCTATTCTGTTTCCTTTTGCAGAGAGCAGAGGGGTTGATCAGGATCTCCGGGGGCCGCAGGGCCTCTCTCGCTTCACAGGGCATTGTTTCCCGAGTAGGTAATTCGGCGTGCTCTTCTTGTCGTATACCATGGCATGTAAGCCACTCGTTTCCCGTCGTGAGCACCCCTGCGTCATCACACGGTGCCATGGCGCGGGCTTACTTGTGTGCAACCCCACAAGTTCTGAGCATGATGCCGTTGCCGGCTGACGGAGGCTCATTGGCCGCGCATGGAGCGGACCCGTAGTATCTCCCATGATCGGTCAAGGGCATTGAGTCGTCTCTGGTGGTGGGCATGAATACATGCATGGACAGTGACGAGCAAGCAGTAGAGTGCATAGCCTGGGGGCTACCGCGTACCGGCAGCGCCAGTGTCCGGTCAGTACCAGTCTAGCATGTAAACTTCTTGGGACCGGGGATGGTATATGTTTGAGCTACACATACACATATTAGTGAATTACTCCTCAACAAACACACGACACATGGGGGGAATGACATACCAACATAAGCATTATACGTGACACCCGGATCCGACGCCTTGTACGCGCCCGGGAAACTGACCAAGCCACTGCTGGGCTTGGTGGTGCCGCTACCCGTCACCTTGAGCTGGTGGCAGCCCGGATAGAACTGGGCGCCCGGGTACGTGCTGGCCGAGTGGAGCGCAATGATTTCATGGCGGACGAGATAGTAACCTGCGGCGAGGCACGCGGGGATGGTGTAATTGACTGAGCCGCCGGCCACCATGAGGGCATTGGCGGCCCAGGTGCTCGAGGTACCCTGACGGCCTTCCTCCTGCACCTTGAACCACACGGCGCTGGAGTCGAGGAAAAAAACGCGTTAGCCTTTTCTCTTTCAACATGGTGTTTGCGTGAAGTAGGTGTAGAAGAAGGAAAATACATACGCAGTCCCAGGCATATAATCATTGCACCCCGTATCCGGACACCGCGCCATGTACGTAATGGTAGGCCCAACATGGCTATCCGGCCAAATGGTCCAGTACAGCTTGACACTGGAGCCCGCGGCCGCCTCTGCATGCAGCGCGGCAGGCTTGGACCCGACGACGCCGCCAGCCGTGTACCCGCCACACTGGAGATCGGCCAGCGTGACGTCCTGGACAGGGCCGTTGCCCTGGATCGCGCGCGAGATGCGCTGCACGTTGGGCGTGTACGGGTCCTGGTACGGCTGGTAGAAGGTGTAGTCTTTGCCGCCAATCGTGCCCGTGTTGACGTAGCCGTGGGCGGCCACGGCCGTGGCAAAGGCGAGTGAGGGCGCTATGTACTTCATTCTTTTCTCTTTCTCTTTGTCTCTCTTTCTTTTGTGTGTGTGTATGTGTAGAAAAGTACAAGTATGTGAATATTCACAGGTCTTCAACACACCCAAGGGAAAACCAAAAAAAAAACGAGATATCTACCTGACTAAATATACTCGCCCATCTAAAGTACAAACAACAATCGGAATATACAACTCAAGCACCATCATCGTATAAAACAGCAAAATCGAGGTCATGCTACCAGAGCCGCGCCCTCCCGCGGTACAACCAAGCCTAGATGCCGGGAATATATTGCGTCTGGGCTGCGGCTCCTCATACACTGTTGGTAATAACAGGCTCCTTCCCCCATCCAGCTAGCAGCGTCTCGGTGCTGAATTCCTCCACGATACAGAGGGGGTAGACTGGCTGTGGCGCTGCAAAAGCTCAATGTAAGCTTTTTGCCCCCAAGACACGCGACGAGAATGCATGACGCATGAGGGGGGGGATGTTTAGATGGATTTGTTTATATGAAGGCCGGGTGTGGAAGCCGACGTTTCTATGTGTGTGGGTGTGGGTGTGCGAGCTTTTACGCCTCCTTCTAACTGTAGTGTTGGTTGCGAGACGCCCGGTATTCCCGCAAAGTACGTTGTACCCGAGATATGCTAGGTGGTGCGAGCCGTTTGGAGACAAGTATCACGCAGCACGCCTAAACACACAGCAGAAAGTATTCTTCCCTCTGATTTTTTTTGATCAAGCGAAAAACAACTAGTATACAACGCAGCCTAGCAAGAAAGCCAAGCGCCGTATCATGAATCGCTAACCCCCCCTTCCAAAAAAAACCCCTCCCAAAAAGAAGCCGAAGTAATAACGATTATGTGTGAATTAACTTGCCCCCTTCAATTTCTACTCCCCAGAAAAAAACAGCATTACCAGTCATTCCCACCAGTGATACCCAGCACACATTCCCTTCTTCTCCCTCCCTTTATCTCCTTCTCTCTCCTTCTCCAACACCAGCCCATCAAATCATCTACATCAAACGCCCCACACGTGACACACGCCTCGCCTCGCCTCCTTCCTTCCTCAGAAGCGCACCAATCAAGCCGTGACCGCGCATGTCCATCGGAGAAATTAATAAACGCTTCATATAGGGGGGCGCAAAGACGACGGGTAGAAGCCGGGTTGTCCGAACCCTTTGGAGGTGCCACCCCCACATACGTCCACATACACATAGACATACGCACATAGACATATGCTCACACATACGCACATACCCATCGTCACGCAACATTACTTACTACTACTACTACTACTACTACTACTACTACTACTACTACTACTACTACTACTAGCAAGAGGAAAACAAAAAGTCACAAGGAAAAAAAAACAAGGAAAAAAACGGGCTAGATAGCATCACTATCGCAGTCTCCCCCCCCCTCTCTCTCTCCCTCCCCCACACCTTTCCTTTCTCTCCTTCATTCCTCCTGATCTTTAGGAGGGATTACGGCCCGAAAGCGTCGAATCTTGGCCTTGCATCTGGGTTTGTGTGGGTGTTTGTGTGGCAAGGAATCAATGAATGGATGGGGTGAGAGTTAGGGTGGGGGGGTTGGGTTGGGTTGGGTTAGACGACAGCACGTGCATGTTCTAACTGTAGATTACCATGGGGTGGTGGCATGAGTATCTAATCTAGGTGTGGAGGAACGAAGGAAGATATAGACCAAGGGAGGTGGGGGAGGGGGTGGGGTTAGCGAGCGGGAAGGGGAAGGGGAAGGGGAAGGGGAAGGGGAAGGGGAAGGGGAAGGGAAGGGGAAAAAGAAAAGAAAGAAAAGACACGAAAAAGGAATATGGATTGAGGTTTCGTGGCGTGAAGATTGGGTATATGCATATGCGTATGCGCAATCACATTTAGTGTGCTGTGGAGCATCCACGTGCCCTTTCACGTGAATATCGTAGCTATTTCTGCTATGAGAAAGGACGCCAATATACTTGATTCCTTTGTTTTCCCTCCAAGAAAATAGTCCCGGTCAATGAGATAGACTAATCGAATGTCACGGCTATCTGGACGGACAATTAGAGGTCTATACATCACTCGGTAAACAAGTCATAACTGTGTGACAACCACACTTGAATCATTCATGGTCTCGGCAACTATGACTGTAATCAGCCGAAACTTTTAGAGCACCCTTTCCAAAGCTGACAATAGGTATTAACACAGCTGCATCAAAGAACCTGCAACCTATCCATGAACTCCTGGCTTGGATTGGAAACGTTTGCATTTGCCAAACCTGGCCTGAGCTCCGAAAACACACGACCATCCAACCGTCTCCCTCACCTAGTATCCAGTCGCGCCAGGTGCCTTTTCGTCCTTCTTCAGACTGAGCAGTAGCTCTCGGAAACGGGCCTTGTCGCTGCCCGACGCACCGCCCTTGGTGCTCTTTCCGCTCAAATCGACCAGCTTCGCAATGCGCTCCCAGCTTGTACCGCCCGCAGTAGTGTCGTCTCGGTTTGCAAGAAAGTCGTCGGCTTCTTTCCGTGTCTTTGCAATCTCCTTTTCCTTTTTGTTGTTGTAGTTCTCGTAGAAGTCGTCAATGTTTTGCTGTGCCTCGGCGATGGTTCTCTGTTTGCGCTCGTTGGACACTTCGTCGCGGTGCTGGATCTGGAGGTCGCGACGCTCGCGCCATTCGCGAATTGGCTCTGGCTCTGGCGAGTCTGACCGCTGGGGCGTGAAGGATGGCGCTGGCTGGCCGGGGAGGAAGGGCAGGGTTGAGCCGGAAATGGTGCCACCAGGGGCCATGTGCTGCAGCAGTCAGTACAGTGCGCCAGAATGCCGCCATCTCCAACAGTCCAGGCCAATTGCCGCCCTCGTCGGCCAGGGCGACCGCATGCGAGACATGGGCAGAAAGAGGCCTCTCTGGGCTACACGTGTTCAGAGCAAGGCAGCAGTGCATGGCTTACCTCGTTGCTGGTGTCAATGGCGGGGAAGGAGCTCTCGAAGCCGCTCATGTCGTCGCCGCCGGCCGGGGCCTGGCTGAAGCCGCCGCCCAAGAGGTCGTCGTCGCCATCCTCGACCGTGGCCGTCCGGTCGTTTTCCGAAGCAAACTGGTCCGCGTCGTCGCCCAGGAGCGCGCGCTCGCGCGAGAGGAAGTCGTCCGTGTTGTCTGCGTCGCCAACGAGGTCGAAGTTTGTTGCATCGCCACGCGCCTCGGTCTGGCCTGGGGGTTATGTATTCAGTACGGGATGCGGAGCAGCTTCGGGGGTGCAGTGGCGGAGCTCACCAGCATCAATCTCGTCGAGCGAGGGAAAGCGGTCGGCCATTGTGCATGTGCAGGGTGCGGCGGGTGTAGCGGAGAGGGGCGGCGATGGGATTGGGCGGCGATTGTTCTGCTTCCAGGTGTTGTGATGTTGGGCGGAGTGGGAGTGGGAGAGCATCGTCACCACGGCCAGCCAGCCGCAGCCCCAGGAGCTTGGCTTGGCAGGCGCGCCCAGCCGCATTGAGCCTCTCTCTCGTAGCGCCTCGCACCTCTCCATCATCACCTTCGATTCCGCTGCATTGAGCCTCTCCCTCTTCGCTCCCTTCTCCATCAACTGCCCGTCGCCGCTGCCGCCGCACGCTGCACAGCGTCCTTCAAGCGTCCCCCGTCTGTGCCGCGCCCCTCTGCATTGCCACGAGTGACTGGTTGTTGGCCTGGTCGCGTGCGAGCCTGCCTTCAGCTGCTGCATCCATTGTTCGTGAAGACATTGAACCATGGCCTTTACCGAGGACAGCCTCAAGGCCAAGCTCTCGTCGCTCAACGAGACGCAGGACGCCATCTCGACGGTCGGCCAATGGATCCTCTTTCACAGGTAAAGCTTCACATGTTTGCTGTGCTTGCGCCCTCGGTTGGCGCAAACCATCAGCGCCCGGTCTGCACGTCAACGCGCGCACTCATCCAGCACCCGCAGTACAGGCCACCGCTAACATATTGCTATGCAGACGACATGCCGAGCGCATCGCGGCCGTATGGCTCCAGCGCATGAAGGAGTCGACGCCAAACAAGAAGTTGGTGCTTATCTATCTCGCAAACGAAATCACCCAGACGTCCAGGATGCGCAAGAAGGAGGAGTTTCTCAAGGCGTACGAGCCCATCCTCGCCGAAGCAACCACCGTCGCCTACAGAGGCTCGCCCCATGAGATACAGAACAAGATCCGAAGGGTCGTCGAGGTCTGGCGCCAGCGCTCCATCTTCAACCCGGCCGTCCAGCAGGCCATCGAGCGGTCCATTGACGAAATAGACCGCACAAAGTCGTCGCGCAAGCCTGCTCTCGGTGGATCGCTCTTCTCCAACTCGACCGTTCCCCCCGAGCTCACGCCCCTCGTGCCTCTTGCAACCTCTCTCCAAAAGGCCGATCTCGCGACCAAGCCCGCCGTCACGGCTGCGAACCAGGACTACGAGAAGCTCACCAACCCCAACGCTGCCATTCCCTCTCCGCCCATGCACGCTGCCGGTCTCGCCGCACTCTGCAAGAAGCTGGCGCTCGCCGAGGGTGCCGTCGCAGAGAGCATCAAGGCGCGAAACGCCCTCATCACCGGCCTGGAGCAGCTCCTCGAGGCGAACAAGACAAAGCTGGAGCAGGAAGAAGCACAGGCTGCCGATTTGAAGACACGCAAGGAGGCCATCGAAAGCCGAAAGCGCGAGGTCGAGGAAGCTATCCTCAAGGGCTTGTCGGCAGCTGAGCAGAACAAAATCTCAACCGCACCTCTCCCCGTCGCCACCACTTCACCCGTGGCTGCGACCTTTCCAACTGGACAGGGCCGGCCAGAGGTCGAAGAGCTCACCCCTCCGCCCATGGAGTCCTTTACCCCGACCGGATCCCCCCAGCAAAAGCCAGCACCCAACAACGACCCCGTACCCGACATTGGCGACGACGTAATGCCCGATCCTGCCGCCCACCCCGTCGTCCCAGACGCCGCCCCTGCACCCGCCCATCAAACAACCCAACCCGACTTCGCAACCACAATGGGCGACCCGAACCAACACGTCGCCGCAGATCTGCTCAAGAGTCTCCAACACGCCCGACCAAGCCCCGACGGCGGCGCATACGGCCAACACGCATACGAAAACATGCACAAGAAGCGCAAGATGAGCCGGAATCCCGGCGACGACGACTTTGCCGCGTTCGCAGGCGATAGGGATATGGCTGGCATTGACGACAACTTTGCAGAGTTGATTTGAGAGCAGAATAAAAGCAAAAATTGGTGTTATTGTTTCAGGCAATGCATACATACATGTTTGATGTGGAACTCGTACCAAGGGCCCGGGCGTTATTGGAAATAGGCAATAATAAACATGATGGTGGGATGGCAATGTGTACGCATACACACACACACATGTTCATGGCTTGGCTTCTTTTCTCTTCTTTTCTCTTCTTTTCTCTTTTTTTTTTCTTTTATTTTTGGTGTGTGGGTGTTAATGTTCGTTTTCTTAAATCCATTTCAAGTCTTTGGTAGAAAGCGGTTGATGCTATCAAGCAAACAAAAAATGTAATGTACAATGAACGGTATTTTTCATCTCATTATGTCGTGATAATTCCCCTTTTGCAAATCCCTTCTCCCCCTCCCCCACCTTTTGATCCTGCTTCCATGACCACCATGTCTTCAGCACATGCAGAACCGAGAGAACTGAGAGAAGAAGCAAGCGGAAATCGAAAAAAAGGTAGCACGCAAACCTAGTCCTGTGGTGGCTCGGCAGCTGGCATAGCGCGATTCTTTTCAATTTCATTCATGACGCGCTGGCCCTCCTCGGTCGTGGCATCAATGACGCCCTGCTCCAGACTCAGCATGCCGCCCTGCCCCAGCTTCTCCACCACCTCCTCAGCCTCATCGACGCTCATCTTGGCAAGCACCTTGTTGACCTCGTCGAGCTTTCCGCTCTCAAGCGCCCGCTGCAGGCCTGGCGGGAAGCTCTCGAAAATCTGTCTGGCCTGGACTTCAGCCTCTCTTTCCTCGGGGTCCGTTGCAGTCGGCTCTTTCGGCGGCACCGAGATGTTGATTTGCGTATTGGGATCCACGGCGTGAAGCTGAATCTGTTCTACGCCTGCGCCTTCGCCCTGCGGGTTCTCGGCGCGCTCCTTGAGAATCTCGGCGGCGCGCGTCTTGATGCGGTGGTATGTCGAGTCGACGTCGTCGTTGAACATTTTGCCTGCCTGGTGGTCTTTTGTTTGTATGCGCTTGAAAAAGAGCTCGACGCCTTGTCTGCCGCCGAGCTGGCGACAGTATTGCAGTAGCAGGCCCTGGTGTACGCATTGTCTGGCGTGTTTGGGCTTGCCGTCGAGTTCAGCATTGAAGGCTTCAACGAGAAGGCCGTCCGTCTCTTTCTCGGACAGGATTTCTGGGTGCTGCATGAGGAATTGGAGACATGCGTACCAGTCTCCTACTTTTATCTTTGCAAAGGACTGTGCGAGAGGAGAAGCAGTGATGTCGTCGTCATTGTCGCCGGTGGAAGCTGCAGCCGTGGCTACTTCTTCTGTGTCGGCGTCGGCACCAGATGATTGACCTGTGTCTGTCCTCGTGGTGCTTGGTCGGGGGCTGTTGAGTAGTTCGACTGTGGTTTCTTTCTTTGCGCCTGTTGACGATGCAGCCTTCTTCTTTTCTTCTTCAGCCTTTTTCACATTCGAGTAGTTGAAGCCCTCATGGATGTCGTCGCTGGTGATATGTCTCTTCTCCTCCTTTTCTAGCTCCGCCAGCTTAGCAAGCAATTGGCTCTGAAGATCCTGTATCCGTGCCCTCTCTTTCTCGAGTCCCTTGATAAACTGGTCGTATCTTGGCTCGTCGCTCTTTTTCTCGTCAATGTCCTTCTTCACCGCATCTACGAGACTGGCCATCATCTGTGGGTATGTAGGCTTGTCCTTGATATGCTCATGCACGCCTTCTGGAGGCGCCGGCGGCCTGTCAGTGCCGCCGTCCTTGTCGGCCTTCATATCCATCATGCTCTCCATCATTGCCTGGAACACGAGCTGATCGTCCTTTGTACCACTGCCCTCGGTCTGCTTGTCCTTGTGCGACTTGAGCGCGGTGAGGAGGCGATCGACGCGTTCTGTGAGGCCATCGTTGATGATGCGCTCGTACTTGAGGGTTTTTATTTGGTGGCGGCGCTGTTCGCGTTCCTGGTGGATCTGGGCTTGTTTCGCGCGGATAAATGACTTCTTGTCGACATTGGGGTGCACTTCAATGTCGCTGTCGTCGGAGAGCTCGAGGGCGTCCTGGTAGGGTTAGATTAGAAGCTGTTGCAATAGTACCGGAGCGACGTGATACCCACCCACTTGCTGTAGTTGATCACCATGGCGAATAGTTCCTGGTCTGTGTATCGCAGAGTGGTGTTTGGTGTTGTGACTCGAGGGGGAGTTTGTTTGGGATTGCGGGGCGGTTGAAGTGGGATGTCGCGTTTGGGCCATAGCTCATCCTCGAGAAACTTCGATAGACTTCACCTCCATTCCATCATGGTGCATTACGCCAATCGCCCATGCGCCAGTACAAGGCTTTACCGACTAGGGAATATCGCATAAAGAAACAACAAGGCGCCTGAGGGATCTTGGCTTATGGGCAAATGTAACCATTGAACAGAGCCGGGGAGCTGCATATGACCCCGCGGTTTACCATGCTCCACCACTGTCAGCGTTACATCTCTAATGTGTACTGTGCATATTGTAGCTGTACCGGTAAATCCGCTACTGCAGCGACGATGCCTATTTACTATTATGAATTGAACATGACATGCATCGACATGACTCTCATGATTACGCGGTAAGCATACGTCATATGTTCTAGGAATGAAGACGAGGCTGTCTTAGGGAGCCTGGGTACTTTCAAACACGATAGGCCAATTTGGAATTTCTCTAGCAAAAAAAAGCAAAATAATTTTAGACATGTCGAGACTATATCGAGTAAAAGGGTGCCTCGCCACAAAACTAGCCAGCATGATATATTGAGGTCTGGATCAAAGACAGCTGCCAACCTTGCCCAAAGTGACAAACGCCTCGCACGCCATTCACCCATCCACTTGCCCGTCATCATCGTCTTGATCATCCTCCAGCAACAACAGCCAGACCTTCGTAGATCTGTCTCCTAACTCGTGAAAATGTTGCCGCATCACTGCTTCGCGGGTCAAAGTTTCCATACGCACCGCCGTCAATCTCAATCTGACCCGTAGCAGTCTTCCTTACTGCCACGGTACCATTGATAACCAGCACACCCTCGCCACGGAACTCGGCCTGCATACCGTTGGCATTCATAAGCTTCCGGAGATCAGCAAGGCGCAGGTCACCGACGTGGAACGGCTGGGCGACGGAACGAACTGCAGTCGCCATATTGTTGGGGACAACGTCCAGGATGGGTGTGTCACTGGTGTTGTCGCTGGACACAGGGACGGCGGGTGCGTCGAGACGAGCCTTCTTTTTCGCAGGTGTGTCGGCTTCTTCCTTGACTGGAGGCTCGAGGCTCGCGACTGCAAGACGCCCTGTAATGGCCACAACGCCCATGCCACGCACATTCTGCCAACGTAGGTTGCGTACCATGTTTCGACTGAGCTTGACACTCCAGGCATTGGTGTCGACGCTAGCGTTAATCACCATGCCTACTGTAGGCGTAAAGACATCGATGACATTGGCTGAATCCGTGTTGGCATTCAGCGCTATGCGACTGATCTCTGCGAGTTCAAGTGTTTCGTCTTGCTCTCCGCCAACAAAGATGAGCTTTCGTGGTTTGATTAGTGGAATCAGCTGTTGGATAGTGCGGCGGTCGTGTAGACCCGAGAAGTCGACAAAGGCTATCCGGCACCGGATCTCGAGCGTTTCCGACTCGATAATGACCTTGGAAGGACCTTCCACCTTGTCAGGGTCGCCCTCTGGCTCGCTGTCTGACTCTCCGTCCTCGCCCTCTCGGCCCTCTCTTTCTTTTCTGCGCTTTTGGTTGGCAGTCGCCTTGACGTTATCGGCATTGTTGACCAGGTCATCCCATCTCCTCTTCTGACCCACGGCATTTTCCTTCTTCGTATCCTCGCCGCGGAGAGCCTCTCCAGCTGTATTGTCCTCCTCTTCAGCGCGTGCAAAGTCCTCTGGGCGGATGAGGTCGCCAAAGTCATCTGTGCGACGCTTCTTCGCCTGAAACGGAAACATCCTCTCCTTGCCTTTTTTGCCCTGCACCTCGTAATCGTAGACATTTTTGCGGCGGATAAGGACGTTGACGCCCAGCTCGGCGTCTGTCATACCAAGCTTGTTGCGCGCATGCTGCAGGGCGACAGTCGCATTCAACGCCTTTCCTCGGTACCCATCGCCAGAGCCTTCTGAACTTTCAGATTCAGTTGATGATCGGTCGTCGACCACGTCTGCAGATGTTTCGAGGAGAGCTGCGTTGTCTCCGCCCATGGTATTTTGTCGCTGTCTTTGGCTGGCAAGGAATTGCTGATAAAGCGGGACTTCATCACCCTCGAGTGCGACTGCTCTGATACTATTCCACGGAGCCTGGTTACCTGAAGCATCAATCACAGTAGTAGGAGGCGCGTCCTGTCCTGGTGATGCATTTCGCTCGTGCCACAGGTCCCAGAGGTATCGACCAAGTCCCTTCTTCTGTACGCCCAATTCACCAGATCTTTCTGTGAGAATGACAAGGTTCTTTTCGTCAGAGGCCAGGGTCCGAAGGGCATCTTTTGAAAATCCCCACTCCAGTGTAGCGTCGCTTGCTAGTATCACACGCGGTCCCGCAGCGCTGAGCATGCGAGCTACGCGTGTCTTGCGCTCCAACAGGGTAATATGTCTGAAATCAAAGGGAACTTTGGCTCTATCCTCCTCCTTTCCACCTTTGTTCCTTCGATCCTGGTCTGCTGCGCTCGCTTCAAACTCTTTTACAATACCCTCTTCCATCCACTCCAGCATGCTCCGCACGTACCGCATCGTTGCACCTCCTGTCCGACTGGCAAGGTATACCTTTGCGTTGGCCAGGGGGCTATTGTTGCCTTCTTCGGCTGTCTCGCGATGCCACGTCTCTTCAAGAAGATATGCTAATTCAAGGATGCGGGCACTGGAATCTGATGGAATCAAAACCGACCCACCGTTGGCGACTGTATCCCGTATCATTTCGAGCAATGCTTCGTCTCGCTTGTTTGGTGACTTTGCGACTTTGACCATGTTTGTATTCTTGCTACTGCAGATCAAAGCAGTGGGGCGGCGTAGTTGCTCCAAGACCTCTGAGCCGCCGGTGCCAGGTCCTCCGAGCCAGGCTGCTCCAGAGAGGACATGCTCCCTGGCTTGGTTCCAATCGACAGCATAGACGACCGACTCCATGCCATGCTGAATATGCCATATCGAACCTCCCAGCGTGTGTCCAGCGCTGTATGCAGTAATGGTGAGTCCGTTGAGCGGAGGTGAGTGGGGCGAGGGGATAGGCTGATGTGGTTGCGAGTATCGCAGTGGGTTGATGCGGGCAAAGTAGTCGGCAATTTCTTGGGCCGTGGGCGCCTGGAGAAGTATGTTTGGGTTTTTCCCGCCCTTGAGCGCTGACGAGAAGGAGTAGGCGGATTCATTGAGGGCCTCGGTCGGGATTATCGACGAGGCAAGAGGGGTGGATTCGTAGAGATCTTGCAAGAGCGTCCGGCCGAGGGATATGACGGGGTTTGTGGCGTAGACGGGAATGCGCGTGAACAGGGGGAAGTTCTTGCAGCAGTGTACGTAGGCGCCGAGATGCGCAGTAGTCGCGTGGGTGAGGAGGATAAAGGAAAGAGTGGGAACATGTCTGGTGGATGCGCATTAGTTGTGTTCGACGGTCTTGATGTGGACGTGGGCGCGGGAGGCACAAACACAATCTGCACAGGTTCCAGCATCTGCTCAAGGACCTACCTCTCGATTTCTTTGAGCTGCTCTACGCTGAAATCCTCGGCCCAGCCAACATCTATGAGGATCTGTATGCCTCCATCAAACTCCAGCAGCGACTGCGATGCTGGAGAGGCGCTTTGCGCGCCCAGAAGGGGCGTGAAGTTGAACATGGCGGCAGTCGCTAGTAGCTTTGGTATATGCGACGCTCGCTCTCCAAGCGCATAGTTTTGTGCCTTGGGCTGGATCTATGAATCGTCGGTGATGTTCCTTGATGGATGCGTATTTGGAGGCGGTTGACGGCTACGCGTCAGAGCGCGACTGCGCCCGGCGAAAGGTTTGTCCGGCGCCCTCCCGCCTTGTTCCCCACAGCCCCAGGCTACACACAAGCTGAAGGCTCCGACATGGCTCAACGACGCCTTTGCAGCAATTGCTCGCGAAATGTTACTCGCATCAGCCTCTTATCACGAGAAACGCCCCCCAAAAAGCAAAATAAAAGAGAAGGGATTGCATCGGCTGCACCACACAGCATCGCCGAAGCTATTAGAACAAAAGCCCGGCAGCACACCATGTACCAAGCTCGCCGCAGAGACTCCAACCAGCGCCATGGTGTTGTACCCGCAGTCAAGGATGCCCTCACTGCGAGAGTCATGGCTGCAGCGCGGAAGCCGTGTGTGGAGATTGCAACCAGATAGTTGCAGGCGGCCATGACACGGGCTTTGGGGCGGGTGTGAAGTTGAATGTCAGTCGATCATCCGCCCGCACACGCATGTGCTGGATACGCTAGGATTCCATGTGTTTCACATGTCGCGGGCGCAGACAGGGATGCAACGGGACAAAGGGCGCAGGCGTGCGGGCGGGCTGCGAGTCGTCGACGAGGATGAATGAGTGGCAGTGGTGGCAGCGTCTCGCGTAAGGGACGTGGCTTTGCAGCGTTTTCTCTGCATGTGGCCGCGGGCAGAGAGGACCAGACGTCGTGGCGGCAGGCCAGGCGGAACTTCGGAACGCAGCCGGCATGCACGGCGAACCAAGGCGCTGCAAACATGCAGCTTTCGTATTCCCCATGCAACAAAGCAGCATCCCAGCTCATGTGAGGCTCTCCTGATTGATGATGCCAACACAGGCGCTGCGCTGGGGAAGACGTCATGACAGGTGTCAAGAGGCATCATGGTTCTCCCCGGCACCGCCTGGCACTGGCACTGGCACTGGCACTGACACGGCAATACTAACAGCAGCAGCAGCAGCAGGATAGAAGCACAGCAGCACAGCAGCACAGCAGCACAGCAGCACAGCAGCAGCAGCTAGCCTCACCCACTCGGCCCCAGCTGTCGACGCTCGCACTCGCTCAACAATTGCTGCCCATGCAGATGCAGCAGCCGCCGTCTGCAGCTCTCGGCGGCGTCGACGCTGCTAGCGAATCGAACGACATGGCGATCCCAAGTGACCCCGCAGCCAACCCATGCCGCTAGTTGCTGCAAGTCATTCGTCGTGTCTCGCCTCGGCTGCTTGCGCCCGCTGCCTTTGCTTTCGATACCAATCCGCAGAAACGGGCTAATGCCCGTCGCCCATTGCACACGCCGCCATCCATACGCAGGGACATTGAAGCTGACGCCCAGCAGCCATCTTCCTCGCCAGCCCGCTCACAACAGTCACCACCCTCGCTGCCCCGCCGCCCTGCTGCGTCCGGACACTCGTCAGCCGCCGACGTTGAGTCCCCAAAGTGGCGCTTTTCTAATTACAACCCGCAACCATCGAGGCTGCGTGGGCCGCCTGGGCTCCACATGGTGATGAGACGGCGGTACCAAGACTTGATACCCTTTGCCGATTCATGCTGGACGACGCGCCTCCAAAGCCTGATTCGCCGAGGGCCTTTCGGCAACAAGCTCCCTCCCCCCCCCTTCCCCAAAAAAGCTACTGTCGGCGCGCGCTGGAGAGACGCCACAGTGCACTGCCCGATCCAATTCACGTCTGGTTTGGGAAGAGAGAGAGAGATAGAGAGAGAGCCAAAAGATGAGGCGTCGCGAGCATGCTCATGTATGCTTTGCGCTAAGAGAAAAAAATTGTCATTGTCTTCTCTTGTTGTCGACAAGTTCGTCAAAGCTTTCGGCTACGACCGAGATCAGGGTACTCCGGCATCCCGTCTGGAGCCAGCTCTGGGAGCGTGCCTCCTTTGTGCCCGCCGTCCCGCTCCGGCCGCAAAGTAACCAGATCCTGAGCACGCAGGGAATTGCGCAAAAAAAGTCTCCTGTGATAGATGCCGAAACTCACCCACGACGGTCTCCTCTTTTATTTTTATTTTTTCATTTTTTTTCCTCCCTACATGCAGGTAGACGGGTGCCAGGCTCGTCAATCATGCCCGAAGCAGCGCTAGATTGCGACTGAATCCTGCTTGTTACTCGCTGACGGGCGTAGCGATTGCGGGGACTGTGCATGCGAGCTTATGACATCTCGAACAGACTTTGGCTGGCCGTTGCTCGCTGGACCTACCAGGGCGGCTGTCGACGTGAGCATTTGCTAGCCCTTGCCATCCCTGAAATGTGGCTTGCTGCTGGAAACACTCGACGCGGCCTGGTCGGGTTATCGGCGTGTTATGATCGTCTTGATTCCTGCCACACAAGAACGCTCTAGAGCCGCACAACCGTGTCCGATTCGACCGGGCCACAAGTGTGGAGAAGTAGCGTCGTCTGGTCACACACGCAAAGCATCGCGGAGATGTAGCACGATATGCTGGGTATCTCGGAGTGGGGCAGATTATCGACCAAGGGCGCCGCAAGTGTCGCATGGTTTGCTAACCATTTGTGTGTGCCGCCATGGAACTGATGGTGTCAGTGTGTGCGTGGTGACAATAAGCAGCAGATCAAGAAGGCAGCCAAAAAAGACATGGCGATCCGAGCTTGGCCGTCAGCCAGTGGTCAATCAAAAGGCTATCGGATGCGTGTGCAAGGCCTGCTCAGGCGTTCACACACGTCCTGCAGCCTGGCCCCCCTGCTAATTCCGGGTCACCAGCTTCGACGCTGAGCCCGTGGGCAGCCAACGAGAAGAGCGAAGTGGCTAGCAGATGAGCGAAGAGATGAAGCCGCTCCAAAGCGATTCATGCACGATTCGATACACAGACTAGGAACATCACGTTTCAATGCCTCCCCCTCCCCCGGTTTACCACAGCCACGTCGAGACATTGTAGCGCTCACACGCGGCAACGGTCAACCAAGTCAGCTGCAGCCTGTTCGCGACGACTCGAGCCGTCGTCAAGACGGTGCCTCGTGGGCCCGGCGGATGCTGGACTGCGAGCGTCGGTCGACTCTCTGCTTTCAGTCGACGGCGGCCTAGCTGCTGCGACGCTACTTTAACGCACTATATCCTCTCGCCTTTACGTTGCTCCGTCGCCTGGTCCAAGCTATCCGGGCCTGCACTCTAATACCTGGTCGACATATCCCACCCGTTCGAGCACATCCCCTCGCCACGCCTTTTATCGCTTCTCGGCACCCTCGCGCTACTCATCTCTTCCCTTCGGCCCTTTGGACTTTGGACATCGACAACCTTCCACCCAAACCACCCAACACCGCTGCCCGCTGCCCTCTGCCCATCCCTGCCCGCGCTGGTCTGTGTTCAGCTCAGCCGTTCATCTCGGAACGACGCACTTTTGCCGTTAGTTCCCCCCCCCCCATTTTATTGGATGTTCCGCGCCGCCCACGACTCGCTAAAGACGCATTCCCCCGCTCTCACGCAACCTTCCGTGCGATCGCTCGCGAGGCATCAGGAGCGGACCGCTTGGACCCTCCTACGACACGCTGCTCGTCTTCCGCTGGAACTGTTGCCGCACCGTTCCACAGCCAACCTGTGCTTTGCTGGCCAGCATTGACGGGCGGGAGCACAAGATAACCCGTACTAGCTGCAGCTTCCTTGCATTGCGTCGTGCCCAGCCTCTGACGCACCCCAACCATCGTCTCTTTTCTGTGTTACCCGCCTGCGCGCACAACGGACTGGACATCCAATGCGCGTGTCTCCCCACCAGTAGTCCCCCCTTCCCAAACGTCCTCGACTCTGGACCGAATGATCTCAACCAATTCCTTCGGCCCTTCGCCGCCAGGCGCGCACCATCGTATGAGCACGAGCTCGTCGCCTCAGCCCTCCATGTCTTCCGCTAGCGACTCCCCATTTACGACGCCCAACTACGACTCCAACGTGTTTACCATCCCCGACACACAATCAGAGGAAAGGACAGAAGCACGAACAGAATCACATGAGGTAGTACCAAAGGTAGAAGAGACGGAACTTCAATTGGCCGATGTGAAGGAAGAACCATCTCCGGAAGACGCCCCCATCTCACCCACGGAACCAGTGCGGATACGCCGGGCTCGTGGCAGACCAAGGATACACCCTCCACGCTCCCCAACTACTCTTGCTAAACAGGCCAAGGCTCGATCCAAGACGGGCTGCACGACATGTCGGAAGCGAAAGAAGAAGTGTGACGAGACCAAGCCATTCTGTAAATCCCGCCTCCTTCACGGCCGACGCCACCAAATAGGGTGCTGACCATGAGTAGGCTTGTCATGTCAGAAGAACAACATCCACTGCGAAGGCTACAAGCCTGTCGAGATTTGGAAGAGCGGCAAGGAGCGTGCTGCCGAAGGTATGTTGTGTCCCCTGTTTTGCTTTTTTTTTGACATGTGGGCCAAGCTAACACTGAACAGCGCGGAAGCGAAGCCAGGACGTCAAGTTCGAGCTTCCGCCCCTGATGGAAGGCGTGGAGAATGACCTTGACCGCGACCTCCTACAGCATTTCGTCAGCAGGGCTAGTGCTGTCCTGACGTTACACGGAGACAAGTCATCCAATCCCTTTACCAAGATCCTGCTGCCTATGGCGCTCCAACACGAAGGCTTAATGCACTCGGTACTGTGCCTGTCAGCATCTCACATGTACTCTGTAAACCCGCTGCAAGAGTACGAGGACAGGCAAGCCTTCCACCGAGGCAAGGCCCTGCAGCTTCTCAAGCACGACCTCGAACGACAAAAGGCGGGCGAGGGTGGAGTCATGGTCTACGAGGACTCTAACGTGGCTCAGATATTACTTCATCTATTACACTCGATATGCGATGGCAACACGTCGGGTGAGTACCGGATGCACATGATTGCAGCAAAGCAGATTGCCATGACGCAAAAGTCATCGAACCCAGAGTTCCAGACACTCTTCGACGAGTTCTTCTACTACCACTGGATTGCCAGCCAAATCACATCGCTCGACGGGGCCGAAGTGCCCATGATGGACGACTTCAACCTTCCGTTCAAGATCAGCCCAGAGACGGCGGGGCTTATTGGCGTCTCGGACGGACTGTTTGGCTTCATCTCCAAGATCAGCAATCTACGACGGAAGATTCGTGCGCGCATCGATGAGAAGCTCGAGCCCATTATGGACTACGAGGCGTTGCTGTCAGCACATGCTATCGACACTGGGCTCCGCGGATGGGTGTGCCCGCACACTCCGGGATCGCCTCGCTACACAATCTCCATGCTGTACCGCCAAGCCACATGGGTCTATCTGTACCGCACGACCAAGGACTCGAAGCCACACCCATTCATCAAGAGCGCGGTTGACGACGGGATCCGGTACATCAACGAGCTGCCTGCCGAGGGATGGGTGCAGAGCAATGTGCTGCTCCCGCTCTTTTTGATTGGGTGTGCAGCGTTTGAGGAAGAGCAGCGCGTCGAAATCAACCGGGCGTTCGCCGGCCTGATTGCGTGCACTGGATTGGGCAACATTGGCTTCGCTAAAGAGGTGGTGGATCAGGTGTGGGAGCTGATGAGTTCCGACGACCCCGAAGTGCAAAAAGAAAGCTGGGACTGGGAGCGTCTCATCAACGCTCGCGGATGGGACTTCCTTGCTACGTGATTTGGCATGGCATGGCAGGTGGGACACCTTGCACCGGCCTTCAGCCAGCCAGTTGGGCGTGTTGAGATGGCGATACGCTTGGTGCGTCATTTTGGACCATCTCTCCGGGATGCCATGTTCTCACTGTTGTGTACAGTGTGGGTCAGGATGAGGTACTAGGCAGCGATGAAAGAGAGGAAGGGGGGGTCTGTTTTGGTGCACGGCTCTCATGGCAATGAGAAAAGCTGCATCGTGACGCAAGAGTTCGGCAGCAAACTCGGCACTCGGGGGTTGCTTATTCAAACGGTGGTTGTACGGGCGTAAAAAAGGAGTCATGAATTGTTCGGTGGACCGATTGCGTGGTTCCATGCTGGTTCTAACGAGGCTCGGACCGGGCGCGATGGACTTTGCACCTCGCAGCCAGGTTGCATTGGGAGTGGGTACTTGTTTCCCCTTAAGCACGGCGGTATCGTGTTACTGCAACGGGGAAAACGGCTCTGATCTGATTAGCCTTTGCGGTGTTTTTTTTTTCTTCTTCTACATCTATTTTTTTCCTTGTTATTTTTTTTTCTCTTCTCTATTTTTCTTTACGGACAACTCTTCTCTTTGGTTGGGATTGCAGGCGGATGTTCGCGCATGGCAGCACATGTGTTTGGATGCACACAGAGACACAAAACCCTGCATGGGCGAGGCAAACTCGTACACATGGCATCACAGCACTTGTTGAATTAGGACCGACTGCAATTGGCTGGCATTCAGCATTGTTTCGTTCGTTGCGATGACGACACGTATGTATGCATAGCAGGCAAGGGATCTGGTAGCTTGACGGCACAGCGCAGCACGACGCATGGCCACCTAACCCACTCCTGGTCAGTTCAAGTTAATTCTGTAACGCGGCCCCGGGAAGCGATGCAAGGCAAAGCGAGCGAGCGAGCGTTGGGGGCGATCTGCCTCGGTGATTGAAGTGAAGCACAGCGGGCGCTTCGCTCAGACGCTTGCTGGCTTTTCGCTGGGCTGGCTGGCTGGCTGGGCGGCTGCATGGCCCATCAAGGCCAACCCGAGGCAGGAAATCTACTATGATATGACTATGCTTGACGGGGGGCAGGCTGCTCCACTGGCGAAAAAGCGGGAGCATGCTTGTTTCTTCCTCCAATCCGCGCGCGTCCCAGCAACCCAACACTTTGGCAGCGTCTTCCTTCGCGCGTTTCGTCGGAACGAACATATATCCATAACCTTTTTTTGCAAATAAATGGCTTGGGTTGGGAAAATGGCCTGACTCGGAATGCGTTCAGCTCTGCCGCCACGACTGCTCAAAGCGCTCGCCTGCATTTAGCCGGCGCAGACGAAGGCGGAATCACGGAGACGTCTCCCCTCCAGAAGCGATTGCTCCAGAATCCGAGGCGAGGGAACAGGCCGGCTTGGGATGGGATGGCGGGGGGTTCTCGCATGTGCTCAGAGAGAGAGAGCAGCAGTAGCAAGAGAGGGGTGGGTGGGTGTGAGACACGAGACGAGGGACGAGGGGGGGGGTGGCACACTTGCCGACAGGCAGATCGGCTCAAGGTACCAGGGTCAATTTCCGGCATTGCGTGGGGTGTGTGGGAAAGCCTGGAAACGCTCGGTCCCGAGCCCAGTCCCCGTGGTTGGATTGTTGACATGTGTGTATATCATGGGAAGAAGAAGGGCGACCACACATATCCACACATCCACATCCACACATCCAGGGGGTGGGAGGCTTGGTTGAGAAGGGAGGCGGTGCAGTTTGTCAACGGGTAACTCATCGTCCGGTCCCCCCCCCTCTCTCTCCCCCCTTCCTACTAGCTAGCCTCATTGCTAACAACTATACTAGTACGGGAGTAGTATGTAGAGTCTACACACACACATCCACCCGATCCATCCATCCACAAGCGTCGACACACGCACACGCAACGCAACGCCTTTCCACGGGCGCTCTCCGGTACACCTTCCCAGGGCCCCCCAAACCATGACGAAATCTCTCCACCACCACCCCAGCAAAAGGGCAAACAGGTATGCATTCGGCCCTTTTGAAAGCATCCCAGCATGCCTGTAACAAGGCCAAGCCGCCTTTCCCCGCCTCTCTGTGTCCGTCTCTTACTGTGTCTCTCTCTCTTGTCTTGCGCGCGCGCACGCTCTCTTGCCTCTCTTTTGCCTAACCCCCCCCCACGCTTATCGGGCACGGGGCATGCGGCAGGGATTGGGATGGATTGGCATGAGGTTTGGAGGGGGGGGATACTGGGTTAGCGACAAAGCAAGAAAAAAAAGATATGATAGTCACCCCGTATCAACAGGAGAATACGCATGGAGAGGTGAAGATGGGGGGGGGGGAAGGGGTTCAAGAGAATAACGTCATAATGTACAAGCATTTGTCTATCCAAAACACATGACTGGTGCGCATATGCGCCCTGACACGAAATAGAGGCCCCAGGGTCAACGGAGTACATGGTACATGTTACATGGTAGTGTCAATCCAGACGGGCGGGCAGCACACGACAGGGCAGGACGGAGCAGGGTAAGCCCGCATGTATGTATGTATGTATGTATGTGTGTGCCTGGCATTGCACAAGAGCAAAAGAAAAAAAATCAACACCAACAACGGGTATGTATGTATGATATGCAAGATGCAGATATCTACATCAATACACAGTCGTACTCGTTACTAGCGCAAACCAACTCTCCCAGAAAGAAAGAAAAAGAAAAACTTACACTACTACTACTACATTCATCTACATAACTAGTACCCCATCTCCTTATCCCACCACACACACACACATACACATCCATATATTTCACACGTTAATGCCAGGTACATAGGCCATACTTACACAACGACAAGCATCAATCGGCTTTATCGATCGCACAGCCAAAAAAGTTGCCCCTCCCCCCCCCCCAATCCCCGTCCCGCCGTGTGCCGCGGCCGCCCGGGCGAATCAGGCTATAATGTCTACAAGTAAGACCAGATGTACGTACGTACATCCATAGTTGCGGGAATATTAACTCAGCGCTATCTAGAGAAAAAAAAAGAACAGCTCTGCTAGCTTCTCTTCCCTCGTGTTCCTTTCAAGCCAGCGTGAATCTCTCCAACCTACCCGCGCATCTATGCATACACACACTTACATACGTACGGACATTGCATGCATATATTGCATTACATTACCACATACATAACAACATATTGATTATGTATAACCCTCTCCCCCTCTCCCCCACTCTGAACCCACCCCACCCGTGTCCAAAAAACTTAATTATCCCAAACTTTATCTCTGTCTTTTGTTGTTGTTTTTCCCCAATCC